GTGTAGGGCTGTATATGTCCTTACAGATGAACAAAAGGCTAGTTGGCATCCGTTACATTAGCGAACGTGTGATCCAAGCCGAATTCCTTATAAAAAGGAGACGCCTCAGCATCATTCAAGTACACGCCCCGACTTCTGCGGCACCGATGATCGAACAATTCTTGGATGAAGTAGAAGCTGCAAGGCTAGCGAAAAGAAGTACAGCAGAGCTCATTTGCGGAGATTTCAATGCAATTATTGGACGTTCAAGAAACAAAGAGTCTACGTGCGGGCCTTTTGGAACAGGTGACCGAAATGAACGAGGTGTCGCTTTACTTTCATTCTGTGCTGCACATAATCTAATTGTGGCCAACACGTTTTTCAAGAAAAGATTCGGACGAAAGTGGACATGGAGAAGTCCAAATGGGAACACTCGCAATGAAATAGACCATGTTTCGTGCAAGAATCTGAAGTATGTTCGCGACGTTTCAACACTTTCTGGATGCAATATTGGGAGTGACCACCGCATGGTGCAAATTACTCTGGCGATGTGTATGAAGCCTGCCTATTTTAAGCAGAAGTCAAGACCATTACCTCCACTTTTTTGACAGGCTTAAGCAAATGCAAATGGATCAATAAGTTTTGTTATCTACTCATTGTTGCAAACAAGTTAGATGTTCACTTAAGATGGTCACTTACCGACGATCTTCGCAAGTACAACGTTCGTGTCATGCAAAATGCAATAGACAAATTGAAGATAAGGCGTGCTCGACACGAATTAGCGTATGAACGTCGACAAATAAACCAACTCCGGTGTCCTGATGGTGCCCTGACGACAACTTTACAAGAAGCTGCGGCCATTACAGCTGCATTATACAACAACCTCTACCGATCCCATAATGGTCCATACGTCTTCTCTGCGACAGGCCCGTTGAGACGCCCGGTAACAGCAGACGAACTCCGTAAAGCATGTAGCAGAATTCGTGGAAACACTGCACCTGGTGCCGACGGAATACCATCTGGAGTTACGAAATATCTAGTACCTGTATGTGCGGAAGACTTGCTAAAGAAATAAATCAACATTTCGAGCTCAACCAGTTCCCTGCAAATTTCGTCAAAGCCAAAACCATCCTCCTATACAAAAAAGGTGATCCATTGAACATCAGCAACTACAGACCAATCTCCCTATTGTCAACTGTCCTTAAAGTTCTTACCCGTGCGCTGGCTGGCTCGTCGTGTGGAAGAAGCGGTTATGGAGTTCGTTCCACAAGAACAAGCTGGATTCAGACGTAGCTTCTCCACCCGTGACCACATCATGTCCGTCAACTTACTAATTGAGAAATGTCGTGAATGGAGGAAACCGCTTCACATGGTCTTCATTGACTACCGAAAAGCTTTTGACACAATCGAGTACGAAGCTATTTGGAAAGCTTTGGATAAGATCAAAGTAGATGACTGCACAGTTCGAATGATAAAACAGCTGTACGCTGCTGGACGATCGTTTTTGGCCCTGGACTCGATAGAGATGGAGATCAGCATTCAACGAGGTGTCAGACAAGGCGATTCGTTATCTCCTCTGTTGTTCATTTTGACTCTGCAAATCGTGTCTTGATGAGATTGACTGGGATGGCCAGGGTTACCTTATTGAGCAGTATCACCTCAGCTATCTCGCCTACGCTGATGATATTTTCCTCTGTTCGCCAACGGTCGATGGACTACAAAGCATGCTCAATAAACTCATTGGTGCGACGAAAGTGGCCGGACTTGAAGTGAATACAAGCAAAACAAAGTGGATGTCCAGCAACCTTAATGGACAGCATCTCAGAGCCAACGGAGAAGAAATTGGGCTGGTATCTTCCTTCGTGTATTTGGGCCAACTCATATGTTTCCCTCAGGATCGTGGACAAGAAATCAGCCGGAGAATCAGCCCTGCGTGGAGCATCAACAGAAAAGTCGAGACCTATTGAAAAGCAGAATGACGCCATTGATGACCAAACGACGCTTCTTCCACACATGTGTGATACCAACTCTACTGTATGGATGTGAAACGTGGGCCCTAACCAAAGCAGCAGAGGATTGTATAAGAAAATGCCAACGACGGATGGAGCGCCAAATGTTAGACCTCCGACTTCGCGATAAGGTATCGACCGTAGCAATACGAGCAAGGACCAAACTGAAAGACGCTGTCATCGAAGCCAGAAAGCGCAAGTGGATTTAGCATATAAGTTAATGACAAGAGACAGGACGCGATGGGAAGTGCGGCTGATGAATTGGAAGCCCTGTGGAAGCAGATCTGTTGGACGACCACGAGTGCGGTACGAAGACGATTTCATGATGTTCGCGGGAGCAGACTGGCAGAACACGGTGACGACTTTTGAATGGTTCCAGATCATGGCCCGTTTCTCTGTTTATGTCAGATGAATAACGGAAATAAATGTAAATACAAATGTAAATGTAATCTACCACCAAGAGGTGTTTTTACCTCCTCATTTCACTTCGGACCTAGACCTAGACGAATCGAGCTGCTTCCGGGATGTGGAATGTGGGAATGGGATGCTGGTTACGTATAAAGTTCAAAACGGCTACGTAAACCTGCCAAGCAAGTGGTGAATGAGTAAATCGATTTAAAGTTGAGTTTCCCGTGATGGCGAATCCTTACATTTCACGTAGGCGCTTCATAATGTTGCTCAATGGCGTCGGACAAAGAGTAGATGTCATGTTCGTAATCGGGGCAATTGGTATCCTGTGGCAGAAGGCATTTAACAAATACCATATAACCGACGTATAATTCACAACCAACTTTCCCATACATGAGTTCCTTGGCAGGTTCACGTTGCAGAATAAGTCTTTGTAACCAGCCTTCCCGGCTCTATCAAGCAGACCGGTTATTAGTCAAACACCCCGTGACGCATGTCAGCACCCAGCTGTGTCGAATAGGAAATTGAACAGTCTAGATGAACTAGGATCTTACATGCGCTGCGCAATTCAACATCATACATCGTCGTCCATTTTCCTGTTTTTTCCCATCATTCCTTCAGAGGACTACCAAGAAGAGTTACAAGTGACGAGCATTAGCTGTAGTGTGTTGACCAATAAAAATGTCGTAGTGCAGCCCAAACAATTCGAGTGCTCCCAGCCAGAGTCCAACTTCGTACATGTCAGATCCTCCTGTAATTTTTATGAAATACGAGAGGAATTTGTGCACTGGAAACCGTTACCTGCTGGTGACGCTAATGCAGAGCTTAAGTTTCAACAGCTTGATCGCAACACTTCAAGATGAAATAGAAATAGGACGAGGTCTATTTGCGTTGCCCTACCACACAAGGAGAAAAATCCAGGAAATTTCGAAATTCCATGAAGGAGAGTTATTTAAGTGCGAAACGGAAGTCAAACTGACTCTTTCCCATGGAACGCGTTACCAATTCAAGCATGGCCTTCACTGCTATGATAGAAGCTATCTATCTGATATGCGCAAAAGACTCTTACTCGGTTGTTAGCATGCTAGCACTATTGGAGGTCAACGGGCAGAGAAAGGACTCTCATTCTGAGCGTTTTCAACGGTTTCCTTTGCTATTTTCACCACAGAGGCATTATTCAGCATCTCCATTTCCACCATGAACCGTATCCAATCTTATCATAATCCTTCGCTTTAAAGGCAGCGATTACGATAAATTCAAGAACGGTTTCGTGTGACGTGGTAGAGCTCAATGGTACGCTAGTAGCGAAAAACCGGAAAAATCCGTCAAGAAAACGCACAACGGGACCTCCTTTTTTGACCGTTGGTTTTCAACCATGAACAGGTGATAGTTCAGAAAGTGAGCGTATGAATGAGTCCACCGTAGCATGTTTGATTGCACCATGCCCAACTACGATTTTATCGAGATGCCGCGCTGCCGGCAACGAAGCTCGTCCAAACCAACAAGTAAACAAGTGAACGGAACGCTTTAGGAGACGGAGCGTTTTCTAAGTCCTGCTCAGCAACAAGCGCACCCTTCGTCGTGCAAGCTCCACCCCTCGCCTCCCTGGCGACCAAGTAACTGATTTGTGTGATGCTCATGCTTCTCCGATGCTCTCCCTTTTTATCGTTATCCCTGCCTTCAAAGCACTTCGACGATTACCGACGCTTTAAACTTGCAGTAATTAATACACACTGCATTTCATAAATCTAGACTATATTGTTTCACTGTATCAGAATTGTGATAGCCTTTGGTGGAACATGATTATAACCAATAATTTACTCATGTCAAAAAACGCTAATAACTTTTCCTCTGATGAAATTGTAAAGTGACACATATCTTTCTTGGAACACATTTTTTACCTTTTTACCTAAGAATACAGGCGCACTTCCCTATTGGGAACTTTATTCAGAATTATCAACAATTGTGGAAGTGTCGGTTCATCTTTATTCATATGGACCAGATGAGTTCTATCATAATTGCCACCAAATCGGCCACCACAATCGCGTGTTGATAAAAATCGTCCAAATCGGTCGAAGCTTCGATAAAAACTGCTTAGACTTTTCTTGTTCTATAGTGAGTCGCACTACCCCTAATACTTTTCGGTCTGGAGTAGTCGGTGTCATGCACAAAAATCAATGAATTAGGGCAATGCTAACAACTCACTAGCAGATGGGGTCTTTAGAGTACCCAGCAACCGTTGCAATCCATAGAGCAGAAAAAAAGGTGAGATCTACAGGGTGCGCCAAAATTACTTGCTCAAATATCCACTGTTGTAAGGAGGGTGAGAGAACAGATTGAGGACTAATTTTTCTGCAATTGTTTATTTGTATCACGCCATTGCATAACGTAAGTTCATAACTCGAAATGCCCTCTTCGCGCTCGAACACAGGCCGTAAGACGTGAGGTGAGGTCGTCCACTTTTTTCCCCGTTTTTGTTGGCTTCTGTTTTATTCGGAGAGCTTTTTCTCCGAATGTGTTAGGGTGCATCCTCATCGATGGTCCTTTGCGACTAATTTAGTTTAGTTCGGCTTTCTTCATTTCATAATCGGAGCGAAATCAACACTAGTAGTTCTTTCGTATCTGTTCGCTCTCACCAGTTCCGTTGCGATGGAGGAGTCTTCGACTCTAAACTCTAAATATTCATATTACCGCTATCCTTGCTTCTGAAGGAGTTCCGGATCCGGAGAGCTTAATCCGGAGAACCTATGCTCTTTCGCTTTTTCTCATCATCAGAGTCTCTCGTGACATAATTTCGAGTAGTGTGTAGCCTGTTAGGTTGTACTGGCCAGGTGGTGGCCGTAAAATGGGGCCTGCAAGAGACCAAGCTGTGGCAGGCCTTCTGCCGGCAAAAGAGACCGCTCCTACCCCAAAAGTTCTTCTTTAGTGGCAAAGTAGAAAAACCTCCTTCCCAGGATTATGTTGCCAAAATTATTAAGAAAATTGCCACGGCCGCAGGTCGATAGCACAAAAAATTGACCTCTCATTCATTTAGAGGGGGCGCAGCCACGCACGCCATTTGACAGGGGGATTCAGGCAAAATAATGTAAGCGGATAGGTAGAAATCCTTCCAAGGGTGTAGAAATTATGTGGAGCCTTTCCCCCTGTAGAGATCCAGGGACGAACTCTATATATGTTAGTGTTGTCGACAGAAGTACAGCAAAACAGCATTGAATCTTTTACTCGTGGTCCGAATATCAAGGAGCGAATTGGGGGCAGTTCAGAGGCGGCAGTTTTTTCCCATGAGCAGGCCCCTCTTCAGTGAATCGATTGAGTTGTGCTGCTTAGAGCAGGCCCTGCTCTCCAACGAGTACCACACAGAATAATTCATTGGATTCAAATCAGGACGTGACCATTCTTGAGCGCCGATAAAGCCTGGGAGGTTGCCTTTGCACCACTGCTGAGCCACCTACGATCTATGAGCTGGTGCCGAATCTTGTTCGAACACGAACGGTTTGAAGATGAAGTGGTATTTGATCCGGACAAGCAAGGTGAGAAGCAAGATGCTTTCCAGCACGCTTCCCAAGTAGACTTCCGCGTTGACTTTAATATACTCGTCGACGAAAATCAGTGGAGACTTAGCTTCGTAATTATCGCTGCCCAAACCATGAATTTCTCGGCATGTCCAGATCGTTCAAGAATTCTCCCTCTCTCGTTGGCTTCCTCAGCTTTTAAGCGGAGCATCCAATCATTTTGACGATTGAAGGTTGACTCCAACGTGAACAACTTTCCATCAGAGAAGGCAATGTCCTGGTGGCGCGTCGACGCAAACCGACCAAGGAGCACCTTGAACTTCTGGATTCGGTTTTCTTCATAGATGCAGTGAGAAGGTGGAAGGTCCTTTGGTATAAATAAGGTCTGATATCCAGTTTCCCCTTGACATTACGACGCGCTGAAGTATGACTCATTCCCAGCTTTTTGGCAATCTTCCTTATCGAACTCTTTGGATTGCGCCGCACCATATCTCGAACAACTTTATCGTTTCTCGTGGGAGTTGTAGCTTTTTTTCCTCTCCCTGGGCGATCTTCCGTAGTGCCGAGGTCCTTAAACCGTTTCACAGTGGAGTCCACAGTTGTATAGAGAGTTATATAGTTTGATAGAGTTTTGGCGATGGCTTTTGAACAGTGACCAAGCTGGTGTAACTGAACGATCACGGTTCGGAAAGGGTGAGGTCAAAGCACTTTGAGAGGAGCAGGAGCTGGGTATTGCAGCTTGGGTTTTCGTTGGAGAAAAAAGTACCTGACATGTTGGCGCCCACTTAGTCGATCACCGCTACAAATAATGAATAGGTCAAGTTGCACAACTTTGAGAAGATAATTTTGGCGCACCCTGTAGCTGTTCTAGTGCACAAAAACGTCAAAACCATAGGGGTCTTCACCCTCTCCCCAGAGTGTTGTACCTACTATTGTCCTGGGGCGTAATCCATAGCAAATATCTAATAATATAATAATATCCTTCAATATATCCTTCAATATAATATCCTTCTCCATGCTGTTTCGATACCTGCCTTGTGTGTATCTTACTTTTGCGAGATGTGACTAGCACGTCATGGGAAGTGCAAGAACGAGTATCCCGATTTCCTTTTATTAATAACAAGAGAGGGAACGTTTCTATGAGTGAATCGTTATTTGTAAAAGGTGAAAAATGTTCTCAAGAAAATATCTAAGTTAGGCAGGATTAAGTTTGCTTTCGAAAAATGTTGTTCAGGTTTTTCAGAATGAGCATTTCAAGAAATTTTTCGAAGCTAGAATTTTTAATAAGAGTATTGTACATGGTCATAATAAATCATGCCACGGAAAGCCACTGCGACGAACCAGCCGAGATTAAGGCGAGGATAATTAAACTCTAGCTCAGTTAGTAGTTTTTCAGGTAGCTGCATTGTTTTCGCCGTAAATTTCAACCCAAATCGTATTATTATCATATTGTCACACGTATGCTTTAAATAAAAGAATTACTCAAACAAACATAGACAATTACCTGCGGGTCTGGTTCTAGGGAACGCTTTTCTGAATTCGACCTTTGAGGTCCATCCTGTGCTCCTTTGTTGTTTTTTGAGTGAAGCATCAGTGTAACTCCAACCTGTGCAATAAAGAAGCGATAATAATTAAAAACCATAGAATGAGTTCTTTGAATGAAACTGTGAAAGAGAGCTCTGCTTGGTTGACGCGCATTATACAGTGCGTTTCAAAATATGTGGACACCGCACAATTCATATTAAAGAAGTAACTAAGAGACTTCGTGCTATGCAACCCTCCTCAGGCGATTCCTCGTAGGCGACAACGTATCAGAATAATTTTGCAGACAATATCGCCTTGTCTTAGTGAAAATTTCTTTTTGAATTTTCTTCTTTGTTTCAAATGTATGTGGACACTTAACAAAGGCAAAAACGTAACTAAGATTAGAAACCAGTCAGGCCTCCAGAGTTTTTAGTTGGTTCAAACATCCTGTGCGGCATAATTTGAACCACGTTTGCCATACTTGCTTCGTCGATGTCCGCTCAAACAACGCGTTGTCCTGTTTGCTTTCGCTGCGCTCCTCCAACAAAAAGCAACAGGTGATATTGGAGCACCGCTTGGTATTCTTTACTGTACCTACGCAATAGTGGAGCGGCAACTTCCAACTCCCCGCTGCATGCACCACCCTAGACCCATCAACGGGCTTTCTACGAAATTCGCCCTCGAGAACACGAGCTAATCACGGTCAAGCCTCTCCAGCAATAGCAAAATCCACGCCCGTCAAGATCGAACTCTTTCCATGAATCAAGATTACCTGAAGAGAGAAAGCGCATAAAAAGTGGTTATTTTAAAAATAGAAAATTCTCGAAAAACCGTATCCTATCCACGTGTCTCATACTATGTTGCCATGTTTTTACGAGCAGACTCCAATCTTGCTAACTTGTGTCGAGCCTTAAAGCGAGTAGCTTTTTTCTGCGTCTGTCGAATGGTGTATTCATTTGAGCGGAGGAGGAGTCTAATGGTCTTTTTCAAGAGCTAGTAAACCCACCTGTGAGCGGTGCAGTACCCTTTAACTCGCAATCAGAAGTAACGATCGGAGATTCTAAGCAAAGAATAAAGAATGGAGAGTGCGATCCAGCCCAGACAGCAAGAGCTTCCTACTTTAGATTTCAGACGACAAAATACAGGAAACGAATAAAGAACAAAAAAAGGTTGCAAAAGTACCTGAAGATTGTGGATCGCAGCTGCATTCTTTGATTCCTAACAGGTTGAGCTGGTCAGAGAAGAAAAAGAGCACGGGATTGAGGAGGCGCAGTCACCACGTCTGACACGTATGACCCTTCCAGTGAAGGTCTTCGAGTACTTTTTAGTGAAGATCGAACGTGGCCTCTGCGTCTCTTTAACCCCACAGTATTTTTTTTCTCTGATTAGTTAGGAATTAGGTTTACAAGTTAACTGTCTAACTTCAAGTCAAATTGGTTTTTTTGGTTATGATCTAACTGTAGGTTAAACAAGACTTAATGTGTTGAGAAGCGCTCTGAACCAGTTATCTAAACTGACTTTGGTCTGAGCTAATCTCGACACGTTAATTCTGAATTAATGAAGGTTTGCTACCGTCCCTGAGCTCTGACAGATAACGAAGTATTCGACAGGATGTAGGCTACGCTTTTATTGTTCTGAGCCGTCAAGGATCGTGGATGGCGCCGGATGTATATTCCACTGCATAAAGAAGAACGACCAGGCAGTCGTGTGATTTTTGGATTAGAACTAGTATCATGCAGAGCCCTCATCTGAGCTTGTTCGTCTTCAGGAAGAAGTATGCCAATAGGCATGATAACCAAATGAAAACAACAAATTCTGATCGAAACCGGCAGATATTCCGGCGCCAAAATCTGATCTCCTTCAAGCGTCCACATACTTTTGAAACAAAGATGAAAATTCCATTCAATTTTTTTTCACTAAAACCTGGCGATATTATCTGCTAAACTACACTGATACATTGTCGACTACGAGGAGTCGATTGAGGAGGGTTCGAAATAAAAAACCTAACCTAAACCAAGGCGAACTTTTTGCAAGGGAGCGAAGAGCTTGATGTGGTTTCAAAATAATCGTAAGCGGGAATCACATAGTTCTCTTTTTTCACGCAACTGTTTCCTTAAAAACTCCGCCACGACAAGAACAAAAAGACCGGAAACCTCGTTTGTTCTGGGGAGCAGTACGAAAATCTGCGAACATTTTTACTCACCTGTGAGCTTTCACAAATTGCGTCTTTTTGTTTACTCATCAAATTCAGAAGCATAGACTCAATTTCTTACTACGAAACGTTACCCTATGCATGGCCGTTCCATCACGTACTATAACTATTTCGGCCCTGGCGGTGGCAATTGCCACCATCAAATTCAAACGCTTGCGTTGTCGTTGAAACAGCAGGCAGAGAGGCAGCATGGTTTTTTTAATCCTGCTATACTTCAGTCAACCTTCCCCTTCCTAATTATGAGCTGAACCTGCCATTTCATTGTGGGTTGCTGTTAGTATTACAAGTATTTGTGTACAAGTGCAACAATGAATGGGCGCTTACTCTCGCAACTGGCCAAGTAAGTGTCACGCTTTCTAACAATACTTGAAGTAGATCCATTCTTTTATCAAATATGGGTTATAATGTTGTGCAAGATGATAAACTTTTTAGGCATAACCATGAAATTTGAAATTATTTCGACATAAGCTAAGAAATTGGTGGGCCAATTTTCAGAGCTTCTTAGTTTCTTTGTTTGTGATCGAATAGCTTCCCAATTTCGCAATAATGATACCTATGTGCTCACAAGTAATAAACAATAGCTAGAAGAAAAATTTCTCCACCATGAAAAATTCAGGTTCGAAAGGGTCGATACATGGGCCATTTGGCTCCGCCCAGACAGAGGGCGAGCGTGATTTTCCAAGCTTTTTTCTTTTGGCAAGGTTCACGCATGCGCTTTAGTACGCTGCAACTAGTGAAAAAAAATTAGGTCCCTCCCACCCTATAGACACTGAGTGGTACTTCAGGCAGGTAGAACAAGAGGAAATACGCCAGAAGGCGGTCTTTTTGCTCGTGTAACGTAAAGTTGAATGCTGGTCCTCTAGAAGAATCCAGCTACATATTTATTGAATTGCGGATGCTTAGTGAAAGGCCTAGGTTTCTCAGGCTTCCATAAAACCCTCAAACCCGGTGGTCAAATGGAAGGAATCTGTATCAGAAAATGATCAAAAGAATCCCCATTTCAGCTTCTCTCAAACAGCATACGAACTCAATTAGTTTACCTTATCCAATATTACATATTTAGTCTGCAAGCTTGGATTCGGTAGGGTGCTCCATGTACGAATAGCACATAATTGCTAAATATTCAAAGATACCTGAGTTCCAAGTCGTTGTCCAAGAAGTAGGGCCATATTTCGTTGTTCCTTTGCTTTAGCTTTCTTTTCCAAGGACTTGGCAGCCTGATGAATGCCCTGAACATACTGTGTCACATCATGTTGAACCAGAAATTGTTAAGCTCTTTCAATATTTGAATTTATCCATATATTCAGCCTCATTATATTCATTTCAGTGTTAGGTGCACACGACACCGTGGACAACAAATGGTTGCTGAAGAAAGAAAATCTGCAAATCTCCAACACAGGTCTAATCCGTTCTGTTCTCGCTTCCTGTCTTTTCGGTTTTCTAACACCGAATGACAAAGGATTTGGATATAGAAAAAAAGTCCCAGCTGAAATAATAAAGAGGCAATAATGAGTTGGATACCAACAAAACACGTAAGAAATACGGAGATCCAGACCTGAATTTTTTCTTCTTTACGTAACAATAGGCTTTGTATGAAATAAACATATCACGGACACTGTCTACAGGATCCGAGGATTTTTGGTCTTTTTCTTCATCTGAAGCTAATAAAAAGTACGATGTTTTGTTAATGACAAATTTGTTAAAGGCACGAGTCGGGATTGAACTGATGCTTTACTTTGTTCAAACATTAGGGAAGGGGTGCAATGAGGAACATTAGTGAGGAGAAAAAGCAAAAAAGCACCATAGAGAACACTAAATTTCAATTAGGAGGCCGGCCGTGCTACGACGGAGAGAAACAGCGCTGCAAGGAGAGGGGGAACGCGAGATAGTACGTCGTACGCGAGTGGACGCAGAGCCCACGTATGCCGTTGGATTACGCGGCAGCGCGGGCAGCGCGACGGGTAAGGCCCAAGCGCGATTGCCGCGTACTTTTGGGTCGCGATAGTGTCGCGCTCTCAGTGCTTGGGGAGCCCACTATCGCACCCTAGGGAGAACTACTGCTGGTTGCATAATCCTGACTCGTGGCTAAGAAAATTATGGGAGAGATTGTTAACAAGTGCAACACTGACCCTTTTCAATACATTGAGGGCAACCCGCGTTCTTGCTTTTTTGGTCATGCGGGACACGTGCAGTTTGACGGGAGCGACCTCTGAGACCCGTAACCGCGCCTCACTGTCTAACAAGGTGCCTTTTCCGGAACTCAACACCGAAAGTAGCGAAGAAAAGTGCAATGGGAGTCGAGAGTGGGGATCAGTAGGCCACAGCCTGTCGGCCCCTCTAGGCGAGATAGTAATGACATTAGCTCAAATTAAGGAGCTGTAAACAAGGGGGATATAGTCAGTTCAGGGAAGCAAAGAGTAGCAAAAACCACCAGAAATGCGTAAAAATAGGAATGTGCGCGTTTACACTATCTCCCTTTCAAAAGATTCACCCAAGCTGTGTGCAACATCGCCGACTCTAGCCTCCTTCAACTCTCCATGCCCGAAACGAACAGGTTTAGCAGCCGTTTAAAAGCATATCTAAACACCTGATGGACCACGGCACTTATGGCTGAGTTAAAGTATGATCGACAGAATAAGTAAAAACAACTTGGGAAGAAGCGCAAAAAAGGATGACAAGGGTGAGACGCGCAGCCGCGTCTCAATGCCCAACGCGATCTGCAAAATGAGAAGTGCAACGGTGTCTCATTGTCCTCAATGTGTTGAAGACAAAAGATATGATCAGTTCGTACACATTCACAGATACGATTGGTGAAGAAAGGATGATGACAAACACAAAGGCGTTTCAACCGTCAGGAAGTTTCATGACAGCATTTTCCATTTCCATTTTTCTGAATCTGAGTATGCCGAGTATGCCTTGCTTCTGCTACGCCTTTAGGATTGTTACGATGGAATTTTCTGATGATCGCCGCTCCTAACCCAATACTTGGCCACGTTTCTCACAAATGGTCCCAGGAAAGAGCTCATGACCCCCCCTGTATTGGATCCACATGAGTCCGTGAAGAGCCAGCGGAAAGTGAGGCACTCTTCATTGTGTAGTTGTGTGCAGTGCGTCGTGATTTGCGTAAAAAATGGGAGGCGTAAACCAATGGGGGACCATGCACTCCGTGGTTCTTCAACTTTGGGTTTGCGTACAGGGTGCGTGACAATCCAATCGGGGCGTTGGCCAGGTTGCTGCGCCAGTCGCCGCAGCCCGCGATACTTTGTCGGCCGCCGTTAGATTTCAGTTCTCAAACACAGGAATATGAAGAGGGTAATTTTCTAGCCATGAACATAGAATAGAACAACCTCTCCATTGAGACATACAACCGTTATTTTTTAATGTGCATTACTGATTATGCTTATGTAGCACCCTACAACAATGGCTGCCGTGTAGCGTTCTATTCCTTGCGACAAGACAAAAGCATACTTGTGATGGAAACCCAGACTGTTGATTGATAAAGGAGTTACAATGGACCCAACAATGTAACCTTTACCATATAACATTCATATTTCTGTATGCCACCGATGTCATCCTATTGGGTCAAGATTTCACATGCTCTATGGAAGTCATTGCCCTGATTTCTTTCAATCCGATGTTTGCAAAATGGAGCAAGAAGAGGGTCTGACGTCCTCCTCTAGTCACGTGTTCCTTCACGCGTAGACTTACCACTTGCCTGTTTCACAAATTCATGCTTCGCCACAGGTGGGACATTCAAGCTGTTGGACAGTTTCCTCTCTGAGTGCAGTCTTCATGCTGCATTAGTAAATAAAATCCACTTGTGACAGTGTGTAGCTATCCGATGCAGTTGACGAATCGTCTTTGCAACTTCCCCTTTTCCGTTCCCATTTCGTGATCCCCGTAAGCCCGATCCTCCGCCTTGTGTTTCATTGCCAACCATCTTTGCTACATTGCAAGCAACTTTACATGAGTCATCTCCTTCCATCAACTTAAATAACCGTTTTTCACATTTTCAGGTAACCACGCTCTCTTCAGCACTGATGTGAGCAGACCTCGCATGGAGCAGAATGTTCTTCGAGCTACTTTTCGTACCACCTCATACCATATGTTCCGTTCGTGATTTTTATCCGTGTATTTGAGTAAGGTAGCCATTGAGTTGAGCTAGTAGTGGAGCTTCTCTTCGGATGCTTTACGGGACTTCGGAGGCTTTGCGTACTGCGGCTGCTGGTTGAGAATAGTAGTTAATTCGTCTAATCCGAGCTTAATCGGTAATACATAATGGGTATAGTGCTAGTGCTGGTCTCCTTATTCTGCCCATAAATCTGCCTAAAGTATAGTTAGGAGTTTTAACTGACTTGATCAAAAGTTTATACACATCTTTATTGCATGGATTACAAATAATTTTGATTCATTTCGTGTGCTAGAACCATTACTCATAAACCACGCCCAATTGAGTTCGTGCCGATAATGATCAACGTTTATCAGAATCAGTTTAATTAACTCTGATAATACTTACAAAATAAGCTCAGTTAGCAAGCTGGTGGCTATCAGTAACGCACATCATGAGCTCACAGACAATATGAGCTTCTGAAGGTGCTTTTCTTAATTTTGAAAACCAATTTAGCATTTGCGTTGCTAGCCGAGGCAAAAGCAACAATAGACAGGTCAGGAGAACCACAAATATTTATGAATGTTGAGGTCTCATACTACCTCCGGGAAAATCTTGGATGCTTACCTTATACAGTATCAGCATAGCTATCAAAGTTGTCCAATAGTAGACTAGATACATTCCCATATTGACATATGGATTGCTTAGAAATGGCGCCGAACACTCGGATGTGGTCATGCTGAAAGAACAAACAAGTAGGTTGAATGCATGCCGGCAATGCTTCACTCACGTGGAGCAACACATACGCTGTTTTGCAAGGATCCGCCAAGGTTCTTCGTTTGCCACTTTCAATCAGAGTCAGGCACTCTAATCCTTATTGAAGTGATGCTTAGGGAGGAAACCATCAGAGCGATACCTCTCAGATTCCATAATAAAGAGGGCTTAGTATCGTTCCGGCAATCTAACATCTTAGAGTAAGATAACGCAGGTCTGCGATCCATTAGAATGAAAAAATTATAGGTGGTGTGATCCCTGTTTTCCAAATCACTTTCACCTGCTCCTTCGTACCCATTCGCTCTCACTTCGCCAAGCATACAAGGGACACTTCGTGCAATAGCAAACAACTTTTCAAGCACTTCTGGGAAATCGTTTCCCAGATTCGAAACGTTGGTTTAGAATTAGCGTTTCGACACATTCGTACGAGCAATTTAGTGGTGTCAGGAGCAAACTCATTATTGAGTATCGCGGGTCGAAGGTCTATTATACTTAAAAGTAGTGAGGCGAATTATCCTTAAACGTAGTGAGTCGGGGTCATTCCTTCTCTGCATTGCACTAACTCCCACTCTTTTCATCTATTACTACGTTCTTGAAAATGGTGCAACTTTCAGTAAGTCATTGAGCACAGCCTGGCTCTGAATATCAACCTAAATGGCCGCATGAGCAACAGGCGCAATTCTCGATTTCTATCTGTGTTCATCGTTCCGAAGCATTTCAAGGGAGGGGTTCACGATTAGTTTGGTCATGCGAAGGTACTAAGTGATATGCGAGGAGTAAAATGGCAGCAATCGCAGCGGTAAAGGCAAGGCGTTAAAGCCAAAGGTGGAACCGTCGAAAACGCTAGTGTTGAAGAATTAAACTTTTTGTAGGATCTGATTTGGTACGATGGAGAGCCAGAGCGACAAGAGAATACAAAACACGCGAGAGAGCACGCTGATTTCCACAAATTCGTGGGTGGAGACGATTGCGATGCTTGTAACCTTGTAAGAATTAGCATATCGACCACGCATTTTAGCCGACAAAGCTGGCACAACCCTGTAGGTAAGGATCCAACACGCTTCGTGGTTTCTATTAGTGAGCCTGATCCCGGGCTTGCCTTTGAGCTCACTGGTGATGAAAGTTGATCTACTACAGCAATATCCACAGAAAAGCACAGTGGGCCGGTCCAGGAGAAACACCAAAAGAGGTTCCCAAAATGCTTTCCCCGAAAAGGTCATGCTATCAATCTGGTGGGATGTACATGGCCCAGTACTTTGACAACTGCTGTGTGATGGAGCTACTGTCACTGCGAATCTCTCTCTACACGCAGCAGCTCCGAGATTTGAAGCGAATCGTCGATCATAGGGTAGGAAAAGTCTGAAAAGTCTACTTCCAGCATGACAATGCCAGACCGCACGTTACAAGAGAGGTGAAGTCGGAGCTTGTGCAGCATGGATGGACCGTATCCCCCGTATAGCCCAGACATCGCTCCTTCCGACTATTGGTTGTTCTCCGACCTAACTCGTTACTTACAAGGAAAGGATACTAGGTAGAAGTGGCCATTTGTAATGAAAGATATACTCATAGACGTGTTTTCGGATGCTGATCTAAATTCCATCTTCTAAATTTGCGGAACGATTCTCTGAACACAGTTATAAAGATTCTTTTAATGAAAGCCCACTGAGATAGAGCGACAAGCAAAACTGTCAGCAGCGGCTAGGGCGAGGGGTAGTGCTCACGGCTCACGTGGGTGAGGCCATAGGTCGGATCTTGCTGGGTTTGAAGTTTTTGCATTTTATAATTGTGTTTGTTTTTTGTACAAAAACTATTCAGTGGTGAGGTATGCACTGTGTACATCGCTGTCACGTGTTCAGAGGGGTTTCCTTCAAGCATCATCTATTTTCGTCATAATGTTTGTGGCCAGTTATTTCACAAGAGGCGGGGTATTTCTGCCCCACGGAAGATGACTCATCAGACTGGAGATGACATGGTTGCTCAGCGGGTCCAACTAATCCTGAAGGCGAACTTTTAGAAAATTGACATTTCGAACCAATTTCCAAAAGTTAACCAGCAAGTTGCCGTTGTCCCTAGCCAGTAACCCTAGACTTGTCCTATCATAGATTGCAGCCAGTGTGTACTTGCAAACAACATCTGGGTCGTTGGATATCGTGAGCTATTGAGACATACACTTATTCTACCAACTATGATCGAAAGTTCAACTCCATTCCTTGATCAGACTCTGACAGTGGTTGAGGGCTAGATATTGACTGCCCACATTTTCGACATTAGAAGAGATTTGAGATTCGGGTCAAAAGTTGTCGATAGGGGTCATTTAACGTGCTGAACACGAATATCACCTCTGTTTTGCACGAAAGTTCCTCTAGTGTGCGCTATGAATATCTAGGTCAGTCATTTTTTTTTTGCAAATTGCGCACACACTTGATCGAGGCTCCTCGCCAGCTCCTCATACTTGTAATATAGGCATGTGCTGATGACTTAGGACGAATAAGAGTCTCCTGAGCAATGTTTATAGGAAAGTCAAAAGTCGGAACTCGCCGAGAAGTCAATCTCACGACCTCTTCCCGTCGGCCTGGGCCGCTGCACTTTCTCGTTCATAGCTACGTTCAGAGAATCGTTCCGCAGATTTGGAGGGTAGACACGAAATCAGCGCTCAAAAACACATTTAGTGGTGTGTGTCTCATTAAAATGGCTACTTTGACCTGGTATCCTTCCCTTGTTAGACGAAAAAAAAAACTTCAGAACTCGCGCTCAGGGCAGTTGACGTAGTATTTTGCTTCGCGCCAGCCTCCATTTTGGAGGGATGGTATATAAGCTGCCAGAACGTTGGCAAGAAGTAGTCGACAACGATGGTGGATATATTTAATCTTGTGTGATTAAGTAAATTGATTAAGTAATAGAGCTTGTTAGTAGGAAAAGTGACAAAACTTTCCCGCCAACCTAATATTTCTGTTGCTACGAAGCAAATTAAGCACTGTTTAATTTATTCTTATTATTATTATTTTTGCTTTTATGCTAATAATGCTAGTTGCATGGAAGAAGAAGGTTGTTTATAGTTGATAGTCAAGCGTAAGTAAAGGGTTTGAGCAAATGTTTTCAATGGTGTAGATAAATCAGACCCCCAAATGTGTAGATGAAGCCGAAAAAGGATAATTGCTGAAAACCGGTACGGTGACTACTAGTCTACTGTTGAGTTGGAGGTATCCAGTACCTTTTAAGGCATTACCAGTAGATCTCAATCTTCTTCAATTTTTGCAACTACCGTTATATACTAGATACGTATCTAGCTATTATTTTGAGCTTCTTGTTTCTCACATCTATGATTGAGATATTCTACCTACCTTTCAACGCCTGTGATTGTATCCCAGCCGTACATCATAACACCGAAGATCAGTGCCGGCAGAAGCCATGACAAAATGATCAAAACTTGCGTTTTAGCCGGAGTCTGCCATTTCAAATAACTGGCTGTGTGACACACTGAAATGCCTTTGTCATAATTTTTATTACAGCTTCGTGCTGGAGACTTAATTTTCTCTAAACGTTTATACTACGGAAAGGGGTGCTCTCGACAATACTGCCTTCACCAGGCCAACCTTACATTACAACGTTTGTATTTGAACAACTGTTTGCTTCACAATGAAATGACACATCTAGATATCCCAAAAAGCGAGGTTCTTTTTGGTCGGCTAAGAGTTGAAAGACAACCCTGAGGCGCCATCATTCACAATATATTCAAGGTTGCTTACCAGATAAATAACGATCTGCTGTTATGAGTAACACCGTAAGGATAGAGACAAGGCAGAGCGTGTAATCAAGGAAAAGCCAGGTTTTACATGCCAACTGTCCGAGTGGCCAACGTTCTCCTGCAAGAATATGGTTTACTCCCGCAGAATCTCAACATAGTCTGTTATTTTACGTTGTTGTATATGGGAACTCGAGTTAGTTTTACTGAATCGTCCAGGTTAAGTGGAGTGGACTAAGATGGCGATCTGTACTTTCAACGCGAGGACGCTTGCATCCGAAGCTCACATTGAAGACCTGATGATGCAAACCAGGAAGATCAAGTACGACGTCGTCGGACTGACCGAGACGAGAAGGCACCGCCCGCTACATGCCGTTTTCGATACTGGAGAAGAACTGTTCCTTGGAACATGCGACAGCAGAGGCGTTGGCGGTGTGGGTGTCCTCGTCAACACTCACTTGGCCATAGACATCGGTACGAAAGCCTTAAGATCCGAATCGGACGTTTGAGATTGAGAAGATGTGGATCAACTCCTGCTTTGACAATCGTCGCCTACGCACCAACATCGAGCTACGACGTGGAGGAACACGAAGCATTTTATATGGAATTTGAGAAGTTCTACAAGGAAGATCATAGCTTCTTCAAGGTCATCGTCGGCGACTTCAACGCCAAGATTGGCCCGAGAAACGGCTGAAGAACTTCACATCGGTACTCACGGAATGGATTGGAATGAGCAGGGCGAAAGACTGTCTGAGGTTATCATGTCGACCAACACCACCCATGGTAACTCGCAGTTCCAGAAGCTCTCTCACCTTCGTTGGACTTGGAAGTCACCTGATGGACAGTTCCATAACGAGAAAGACCACATCATCTTCAATCGAAGGTTTTGCCTGACCGACGTCGCTGTTGTTCCAAAGTTCTACACAAGATCGGACCATCGCCTCTCCGCGCAAAGTTCCACTTTTCGATTGGCGTTAGAGAACCTCGAAGTCAGGAAGCGAAACCCAGGACAGTCATCAACTGGGATCACTTCACTTCTCCGGCTTATGGAGATTTCCGTTATCGAGATCATCGACGAGGAATATCATCGGCTCGTTGAACACCTTCACCAGAGTGGCAGGAAGGCGAGAGTTTACAAGTGACTAAGGACGTATGTCTACCGAAACTCTCGAGCTGATTTCGCCGACGTGGGCCGCCGGCGCAGGCACTCACCAACTCACGTCGAGCTTGCGAAGCTAATGCAGAGGGCGGGTAAAGGACGAAGAGCACAGTATCAGCTTAAGCAGCAGAGGCTGGGAGGGCATCCGCATGCCCGAAGCTTTGCCAGCTACAAGACCAAGATGACCTGCCTCCGACGTCCGGATGAAACAGTTACTGCTCCCGAAGAGCTATGAAGAAAAGCATCCACGAATTGTACTCGGATTCTCTCGATAGCCATGTCCTCTGCCCATATCAACTGCAACAGGAATGGGTACTCGTCCCTCAGTACTCTCTCCGAGTCCGACACCCCATCAAGTGCGTGAAGAATCGTACAGCACCTGTCTCGACAGGGTCAAACCGAACTCTAAGAAATGCACCGCCAGTCATCATCAAAACTCTGCTCGACTCTTCACGCGCTACCTGTCGGAATGCAAGGTACCCACTCGTTGGAAACCAGCAGGACCGTGTTTGCTGTACAAGAAGGGAGACTGGACGCATTGGCAACTATCGCTCAATCTGCCTGCTGTTTGTAATCTACAAGCTTATTCACATCGAGTCATCCTTACAGAATACGCCGCATACTAGATGAAGGACAGCCATGCGAGCAAGCAGGGTTTCGAAGAGGGTTTAGCACGATCGATTATATCCACACGTTACAAGACTCATTGATATTTCACGAGAGTCCAAGATGCGTTTGTCTCACGTTCATCGACATGAAGAAGGCCTTCGACTCTGTGGAGACAGAAGCGGTCATCGAAGCCTGGGCAACCAGGCGTCCCTACTCAGTACATCAAGATTCTTCGTGAGCTCTACAGCAACTTTACGACCCAAAATCTCACCATCATCCAAAGGAGGTCATCATCGACGTCAAGAGAGGGTTCGACAGGGCGACACCATCTCGTCCAAACTCTTCAGCGCCGCTCTCGAGAACGTTATGCGTCGACTGGAATGGGAAGACATGGGAGTGAAGGTCGACGGCCGACACCACCTTCGTTTTGCTGACGACATCGTTCTTTAACGCCGAACATCGAGCAAGCGGGCGAGCTGGCGATTTCGACTGCGCCTGTGGTAAGGTCGGTTCTACAGCTAATCTAACGAGGACGAGTTCATGAGAACGGATTGGTTCCTGATGCCCATTCACGCTCAACGGAACCAACATCACCGAATCCTCCAGCTACGTGTACCTAGGTCGGAAATCAATATGATGAACAATCTAGCTCCAGAGCTGAGCAGGAGGAAAGACGGCTTGGGGAGCTATAAGAACATCGAGGAGTAGTGAAGAAGACGAAGAACATCCGGCTCCGTGCCACCTCTTCGATTCCGCTGTCCTTCCTGCCCTAACTACGCCTCAGAGACTTGGACTCTGCGCAGGCAGGACGAGCATGCGGTCAGCGTTATCCAACGCGCTGTCGAGAGGACGATGCTAGGAGTAACGCTATACACGCAAGTGCAGAGGGGAATCCGGAGTGCCGAACTACGCCAACGATCGAAGATCAGGACGCTGCCGTTTTCGCCAAGGAATCGAAGATAAGTGTGCCGGACACGTCATGCGATTTTGCGATGACGGTTGGACCAGAGCCGTTACCGACTGGATCCCCGGGACGTCAAACGAACGCCTGGACGACGCCGCCCGATGGTCAGACTCTTCACGAAGCTCTGAACGAAGGAATGGAGGACATCGTGTCCCTTGAGCGAGGAGGGTCCACTGGACAACTCTTGCACGCGACAGGGACGAATGGAGACGTTGCTGCGCCCGCTCGAGCAATTCGATGATAACGACGACAGGTGATACAGGTGATATGACGCGGCTATCCATGCCGGTCCTTCCATGCCAAATGGAAGTGCACTAAAAAACATGGCAGCTCTGTAGTCGGCATGTTTTCTGAATCAGATTTCAATGGAGAATCATTGGGCATTCATTGTGAAGGAGTTCCAAAGCAAAGCAAAGCAAAATGGAACAACGGAAGAGCTGAAAACGGTGAAAATCACAGTTCGGGGGGGGGGATCACTCCATTGCTATCTTATCCGTAGTACTAGAGAGCAGTTCTTTGGGCTATCGAACACCACGGATAAGATAATAAGTGAACGACTCATTTCGAGCGTACTTTTGATAAGGACCTGTGGATGTCCTACATTCCATCCTCCCTGCCCACATCCCATCCACTTTTCTGCACAGGTGATCCACCCTGGAGCTCCTGCACGCTTAGCCCTTTGCGGAGGTGTCCTTTCTCCTGGTCCAGGACCGTTCCCTTGGGTCATAGCAGGCGGAAATGTGAACGTTTCAGGGTTTCTCACCACCAATATTTACACCTTACACCAATATTTATCAGAAGTCTACTTTAAATGAGTCGATTACGTGTCGTGAGCCCTCTACTCCTTATCTTGAGTATTGGAGAAAAAATGGAGTGCCCCCCCCCCAAACTGGAGTTTCACCCTGAAAACCTCCATTACCCACCAGCAAAGACAAATTTTGACCCTAATGTTGTGGCTAGCTGGTTGCAAGCATTCCAAAAACTATTGATGTGCTCTATATGGCTAATGGAGAACCATAACATTACTAGAAAGTTGGAAATTTCTTTTTGTTGTATGAATATTTCTTAACGAACGATGTATAGTCATATTTGTAAAAGAGTGAAAAGTCGTTCCGAATATTTGAGTTACACAGTATTGGAAGTTCTTCAGAAAATCATTAACGAGGTTTTTCGTCATGAGAAATTTATTGGTGATCACCGTCCTTTTCAAAAACGCACGAGAAGTTTGGAACAGCGAAAGTTAAGAGTGAACCTATATTTATGAGCCGCAGTGTACATTTTTGGAATGCCTCGTGGTGATACTTCACGGCAAGATCCATGTTTTTCGTAATGCTAGCAGCGGTACAAGAGTCACTGCGAAACAGACCAAAAACTTGCGCATTTCGCAAACATTTGAAAAGATCCCATGTCTCCAGATGATATAGGAGCTCCTTACGCTCACATGAATTTAATATCACCGATTTTGAAAATTTTTAAAGGCTCTGCCAAACTGTGCCTCCTCTCGAATCCAGATTCGCCCGTCAAGGACTTCTGTTTAAAACTTTACATATAATTTAGAGAACAGTGAGAAGCAGCAGCATTATAAGCAAGGCAGCGAGTACGGTATTGACGCTTACTGGCCACAACCACGGAAACGCACGATTACAGTTTTCAACCTTAGATTTAGAAAGATACTGGAGCATGGCAGGCCTGCGTCACGATCGCATCAATATGCTGAACAGTTACATGCAATGAAGAATGAAGAAGGTTAGCTTAGCAAGTCTCAAAGTATTGGGTTGTCTCATAATTACTGTCGCATTTCTATTCAATTTCAAATTCCTTCCGTCTAAGACCGTTTCATTGCGAAATACGTTACTATGTTGAAGTATGCTTCAAGTGCCTTAACAGCGTGGTTTTGGAAGCGCAAGCCCTTAACGGGTTAATCAACTAGTAATAAAAATAGGTCAGCGACTGCAATTAATGATTATGCTTTACGATCCTCAAATGAACTCTGTAGCAAGATGGACAACAGAGAAGATCAGCGCTGTGTTTGACTCAGTCCTTGCTACTGATAGGGTAGTGAGCTAGTGGACCAATCGCAACGGCAAATACGAAACGAGATATGAACTTCAACCCTCATACTGGGCCTGCGATCATTTTGATGGGCGCCCCTTGCACCCTAAATTGGGAGTGCCTCCGCACGTTGCTACCAAAGTATAGTAGCAGATACCTGAGCGCAGCCGATGCACCAGCACTGGCCATCAGTATGCAAGGACTGCTGCAGAGTGAAATTTTAATGGAACCCTCATGGTCCGGCCGACCATGGCGGGAAGCACGCATGAACACCTGGGGAAAACCCATTCTTGGATGGCAAAAGCAGAGTCTTCCCTAAAAAGTCACCGGTGGAAATGAGTCATGAGTCCACTGCGACAACAACATGCGGCACGTCTTATGGCTGCCTCGCAGCCAGGAAGCACCAGCTCAACCAAAGCCTGAATTCCGTTTTCTGAGAATATCGATCTGTTTATTGGATTCGCTAGGTAGCCTGGTTTGGGAACCACTTCAATGTATGAAGACAAGCATTGCTAAAGTCAGCGCGGAATAGCCCTCTTGGCTGGCTTTGGGGTTGCGAGAGAATCGTCAGAAACATCTCAGATCCTCCTTCCTCCGAATGTCCACCATACCTCACATTGCAATGCCAACTCACCACGTTCTGAGGGAAATAGCCAGGTCCACGATACCTCATCCACCAAATAGCATTGGCATCGCTCTATCGGACTATCGCCTTTTCTGCGCTTTGAATAAGCATCTTCCAGAGAAGAAAGTTAAGGATTGCGGTCACCCCAAAAACGACTTCTCCAAATCCTTCAATCCTCAGTTTCCTTCATTCTGGGCTGGAAGCTTGCAAACGCCCACTAGTAAATGCACGCATATCAGTGACCATGGTGGTGGTTATGCTATTAGTCAGTTGTTTCCCAGAAGAGATAAAACTAATAAACAAAAGTGTCGAAATTGCGACAGAAATTATGAGACAACCCAATATACTTCAGCCTGCGGCGTGACTTGCGAAGGCAGGTCAATTTAGCGCTCTTAATTAGGCGGAGGTGTTGATGTGGTGCTGATTTCCTTAGCTTCGAACCGGCTGTATCGTCCAAACCGCGTCTTTCAACAGAAAAATGCTGTCATTCGCGCTAGGGCCTCAACCAAGACCAGTGGCATTCCGAAAGCATAACCATCTCGACGTAGCCAGCCTCCAGTCCCTACCTCATTCCGATGAACAATATCTAGCAACGAATCCGCTCTACAACGTATGTTGCAAATCAACAGGAAAGTAGGTCGCATTCATGACATAAAAGCAGGTTAGAAACCGGAGGGCGACAGTTCGAAGTGGCATTTCGTTGCGCTACGCCCTTATTGAATTTTCGGACCTTCCTCTTCCCACTGAACTGTAAAGCATAAGAATATCACGTCTTGCCTAGGAGGAAGCTTAGCAATGGTCCCTCTCGCGTGGTTCAGAACTCTTTGACTATTTGTTGGCAACGTCCGATATTCGACCACCTCCCTCATCTCCCTCAAGGCTTTCGCTCACAGGGACATTTTAGCAACTGTTTCCAGGTATATTTAGTAATGAGTCATCAATCTAATCTAAGCCAAGTGATTGAGTTTAATATCTTGACTTGTTTCCGTTCATTCCAGGCTCTTTTGAGCTGGAAAAAGAAAATTACGCGAACTTGCTCACTCTCTCTTTTCTTTCGTATTCGAGAGAGACAAGAATTGAGCAAAGCACAGGTGAACAAACTGTCAGACGGAGTAAGAAAACCTCCCGAAGGGTGGCAGCTTGGTTGTGCTCGGAACAAAATGAAGCATTCAAATGTGAAGTGTTCAAAAAACGACAGAACTTTCCAAAGACCTAATCTTGAACGATCCAATTCAAGCAGATATATTACCATTCAGCACGTAGACAGTAAAAAAAGGGAAGCCTTCAATGCCGATAATTAAGTCTGATATTGCCAGTGAAGCGATGTAGCGATTGCTCACCTGTAATATTGCATATGAATCATTTGAATTAGCGACTGATTAGGTGAGATCTCTGTTACTTTTTAGCTGAAATTCAATTTATTCAATAAACATTAGTGAGTTATAGCACAACATTCGCATCGCTAGGCGAGGCGAAAAGCTGGTAAATTGGAACTACAAACCGACTGCTTCGAGTGCCACTGGTATGACTAAGTTTGAAGAACCTATAAGTCATTTGAGCACAAGTTGTGATAGAGCGCCAGTCACAGCTCGTTGAAAACAGTCGTTTCTGCTCACCGAATGAAGTAGGCTGGCAGGTATGTCTATAGCCTTTTATCCAACATATACTTTTGATGAAAAGGTCTTGAAAAAACTATTGGTGTATCCCCGTCCATATTGACAACTTGCACTCGTTCCGAGACCAAGTTGTTGATCCCATTCGACCAGAAATCACCGGCTTTGAATTCCAAAAACTATTGAGCCACTTTGAAAGGTTTCGTACTGAATTCATAAGCCATGTTATGTTTAGGGAGCAAGTGGAACGCTGGATTCGGTCACAGTTCTGCTAATAAGGTGCTCAAGCGTTCTCCTTTTCAAACCTTGTGGAAGGCTATTCAACAATGTCTTGTGGTGATGCGCACCAGAAACTGCTTCTTGGGAGCAGATGATACACAGGGGCAGGAAAATTTTTCCCTCCATATCTGCAACTGAATTTATCATTTTTGCCTAGGTCAAACGTCATTTTTCCAGCTGGATACTGAAGGGCACATTGAAAGTGATCGAATTGATTTGATTCGTTCTATTGAAAGCGAAATTTGGGATAAAATAGGTGTGGAAAAGTGTTCAGTTATGAAGCTACAGGTGGGAGGTGGTCTGTAAAAAAGAAGTAAAACAAACCAAACCACCAATTACGCCCCGTACAGAGACCTCCCCTATTTCAGCCACATTCCACCTTAGGATGGAGAAGAGGCGCGTTGGACGAGTTTCACGAACCTGGCTCTACTTGCTCCAGTGCCAATTACGCTGGATCGCGATGGGAACGCTGCCTCAAATGCGCTCGCGCTTTTCAAGCAGCGCCACGTGGCAACCGACAGCGAAGGGTGGGGTTTGCGGACGAAAGTGTGAGTTGCGGGTTGGACCAGCTCCATGCGCCTTTGTCGCGCACTTTCAAAAGGCAAAAGGGGCGCGACATCAACACTTGTCCGCCTACATACTACCCCCAGGATGGAACAGGCGAGCGTGCCTTTAACACGTTGACGACAGCATGATACGCATGCGCGTCGGAATGTCGCCCGATCAGTTTTCTTTCCGGCTGGTTTTTCTTTCAACTTATTTAGCATTTTTCATACTTTAAAACTGTTTGCATGCATTATCCCATCCAAAAAATTGTGCATCAATTAGAAATGATGGAATTATTGAAAAAATTGTGACGCTTGTGAAAAAAAAACAAAAAAGTGCCGAGGTACACGCACAAGGAGCTGTCGTCAACGTGTTAAACAACTTCACAGAACCCTTTTACACGGGCGAGTGGAGGAAAACCTGCCATTGGTATATGGTGCAGGACTCATGTTAAACGAGGTCCTAGACAGATTGTGTAAAATTACGAAATGGTGGCCGACATGGGGCATGTGTAGTCTGAACAACGGGGGGAACCGTCCCACATTAAATCTGTTTTGGAAATTGTTCAACATTTCCGTCGAAAAAAGTTAGTAGGCGGTTGCTAGCAGTCACTGTAGGTCCCTTTGAGCTTGACGGATGACGCCACGTTCTGAAAACGGCGAGGCAGAAGGAGGGCTTGCCGTAGAAGGACATTTAAGAATTATTTTGCCATGAAACTTACATCAACGGCTTTTCGGAAGTATGCTAATGTGGGGCAAGTGCAAAAGTATTTTTTTCTGATCCGTGAATTATAAGTTATTCTAGAAAGCAAAAGCAAAATATTGTTGAGCAGATAAAGCGCTCCGAGTGCACTGTGCTATTTTCGTGGAAGGTAAGCATTAATTTAAGCGAAGAAAAACGCTTCAAAAAAACTTACTTGCCAATCGAAAGAAGCGGGATTCACATTATACATTGACAACACCCCTCACTTACTTTCCTTCCTATGCTTCGCTCGATCTTGTAGGCAATCACCACCATTGCATTACCAATGATCGTTTCCAAACTAACCACAATCACTAGAAACCATACTACTACCTGAAAAGGTTATACACATAGTAATTTACTTTCACAAAGTTATATTTTGCTAGTGGGGACAGTCAGTTGGAGCAGTGCGCCCCTTTTTGATGATCTCCTCCTTTCAAGACGGTAAAGAGGGGCGGGACACCAGATGTGCTGACTAATCCTATACGTTCAGCGTGAGATTCTCTTTGAACCAACACTATCGCCATTTTTGGTCATGTACCCAACAGAAAAGCAATGAAAAAAGCAGAACTGCTGAGCAAATACTTGAAAAAAGCATGAGCAGGCATCCTGTTCCAACAGACTCCGCGAAATAGCTCAACGGCGACGCGGACGCAAGCGCGTGCTAATGAGGTCTCGGTGACGTCACTGCTGCAGGGTGAGATCCAGTAAAGGGCAGCGTTACCGCCGTTACTTTATTACTAGTTTTGAGCATGAATCTTATCCTAACTGCACCGTATAGTGTAGTATTATAGTTATAGGGTATGCAAGCTGAAAAACGAACATTAAGATTTGATGTAATGCGAATTTGTTAACCTCATGGAGTGACAACTTCATTGCGAACCCACTAATGTCAAGAAGGAGACTTCATCGTGTACCTGGACGGACGGAACCTCAGTGTTCTTACAAGGAAAGCCCTTCAGATCGCCATGGCCGTTCAATATGAGATGTATGCCCATGTATGTATTTTTGAGCAAGCGCATGATTTCAAATCTGCCTTCCAAATCTGCTAAACGTCTCTCTAAGCGAAGTTATGAAGCCGAAAAGCGCAACGGAAGCAGTGCGAGCGGGCTCATGAGCTCGTGGGATCGGTTCCTCTGCAAGTATATACGGATATTATAGGCAAATATGAATGAATTAACATGTGCAAGAGTCATTTATGAAACGCTGCGCACAAAAGCAAATGAATGGACTCGCAGAGGAATCGATCTCATGAGCTCTTGCTCAGGAGCCTGCACTGCTTCCATTGCGATTTTCGGCCCCGTAACTCTTTTCAGAGAATCGTTTAGCAGATTTGGAATGCAGATTTGAAATCAGCGTTTCAAAATGCATAGAGGAGTGTACATCTCATATGGGATGGCCATGGTGACCAGAGGGACATTCCTTGTTAGGAGCAATATGGATTCAACATCAGGAGGTGTTATTTTAATTGTGTCACTAAACTTCTCCAAACAAGTAAATAGTATAATTTTCCATAAGCACCGGCTCTCCCGCATCGACAACGTGCCTTTCAAAAGATTTGCAAGTCGTCATCGGACAGGCTCAGCTCTTACAGCAGAGAAGGATGAAGAGCAACAGTCATCTTTTACGAAAAATTCGGGGAACACATGCGCATCCAGCATGGCAACGTCGTTGTGTTGAAAGGCTTCAACGCTCGACTTAGATTCCGAAAGTTCGGCGAGGTGCAACGAGCCTGGAGAGAGATTGCGGGATTTCGTGAGTACATCATCTCTACCACGGCACTAGTCAATTCCTTACGGTTCTGCGGGAGAAATAGTCTCATATTTCCCTGACTGAACAATACTGCCACAAAATTGACCATATTTTGTGCAATCAAGGGATCATGACGGATGTTGCGGTTGGTGCTTTAACACGAAAAGCGATCATGGTGCGAGGGCGATTCCACCTCGACCGCGCTTCAGTGCATCTGATGCGCATACGCTCTGGGCAGTCCTGCCCCACTGTCATGGACGGTGATGCGATCGCGAGACTGGCAAACGAAAAGCTGTATGAAGTGGTGGATGATCTCAACGCTGACTACTAGAGCCTCGTTTAGTAGTAATCACAGAGAGCTGCGGCAATAAATCCTATCAAATTTTCGTCATCGTGCGGTATTGGAAAATATGAAGAAATATGGATTGGCAAGAAAACCACGTAAGTACGCCTTTAAATAGGTTGTGTGGGCACCATATAACTAAAGATCACGCCAATTTTGCCTCAAAATCTCTACATTGAGCAGAGAATAGCTTGGCAAAGTTTGAAGAGGTCCTAAAGGAATTCCCAGCATTGTCTCAAGATTCTGTGTTCGAAAACTGCAAACGGAACTCGCTGCTGCCACAAAAGTAATGGTGGAAATCGTGGCCGCATTTCAATACGCCTTGTTTACATCAGAACTTCCAGTCGCCAGGAAATGTGACCAGTTCTAGGGACGCGCTGCTTCTTCTATCATAGGAGGTGCGCCATGCGATAGAAACCGTGCCTCGTGGCAAAGCGGCGGGAAAGGAAGGCTTCACAGTAAAACTCGCATAGGCGTGTATGCCTCCTTTGTATAGAGCACTTGTAAAGAGACACTCGCCACCTGGCCAAGTGTGCGGTTCCTCGCCTGGAAGAAGTTCCTGGCGGGGCTGGTGTTCAAGGAAGGCGACAAAGAAGATCTAGCGAATTATCTTCTATCACGCTTCTGCACTACCTCATAAGCTGTTCACACATTCTATACTGGCACGCATCCACATACCACTGGAAGAAGCCCAGCCGATAGAACAGAAGGATTTTTGTCGAAATGCAGCACCCTGAGTCACATTGCAACTTGTCGACGTCTCATCGAAGCAGCCCCTAAACATCGCTCCCCTCTCGCGATGAGCTTCATGTGGTGCGGCAGGCGCTGAAAAAGCAAGGTGTTTGGAGAATATATGTTTATAAAATGCTACTGGTAGCAGTTCAGAAGGAGGTGCGCAAGGCGGTCCAATTCCGCCGAACCCGTTTTCCGCTTGCCTAAAGCACGTCACACATCGCTGCAGCTGGAGCAACTTTACGTTGACGCGATGTAACGCGTCTCAACCAGGGTCAACCGTTACGTTGGACCGATATTGGAGCGACGTTGGACCGATGTTGACCGCTCTCCGCGCCGGCATTCACTCTCGCCTCCCGCGAGCCGTCTGTGTATCCGTGCGTACGTTAACTCTCGGCATTTCTCTCGTCGTCGCGTTGGATTTTGTCCAACGGGGTTGACCCTGGTCTCAACCCGTTGCGATTTGACGACCACATCGTGTTGATCACGGGCTCTCTTAAACAACCTTATGAGATGTTCCAGTACCTGGATTGGAAGGGAGTCACTACGGTCTCACCATCAATACCTCCGAGACCATAATGATGCGAAACCCATTCTCAGGCAGTATTCCCGTACTTTTGAAGGGAAGTCCTTTTGAAGACAAGCTTGTACCTATACCTCGGGAGCAAGCCTAGCATGAGGAAGACCTGAAGGGAGAGCTAGCGAGACGTCGAACTGGACGAGCTGCATTTAAGTCCGGAATAATAATAAAATCCAAAATTCATCCGTAATGGAGGACACGACGACCGCAAACTCCGAGTGGACCTTTTCAACTCAACGGTGTTGCCTGCCGTTAGCGCCGCCGGAGGAACCGGCGCTATAGCGAATTTAATGGAAAGGCAATTAGCTTATTCCTGACGTGATAGGCTTGTCAGAAGTCGGAGACGTTTTGATTCACGTCGATGGAGCGAAGCACAGATTTGTCGTGCACCTGATGAGGAGGGATGACGGGCGATGGAGCTCGGCTACCATACGATCGTACCTGCGAGCGAGAGAAGAAGTGGCCACATGGATGTCCCCCTTTACTGTAGGCAGGAACTCTAGCGCATCGAAGCAACGTCTACAACCCAAAGTCCTTTAGTGTGATCTGGTGGCAATCAGGGCTCGAGATCGAGAACAATGGAAAAGGTATGTGACCCGCGAGTGGCCAACCACTGTGGTGGTGGAAAGTATCTAAGTAAGTATAAGGTTAACCAGCGAAAGTGTAGTTCTATTCCACAAAAATTTTGCAGTGGTATCTATAAGTAATACAATCTTTTCGCTACCGGAATTAGTGTTTAACGGGCGCATAGATTGGAGATCTGGCAGCAGGCACAGTCTCAATTAATCGAAGTGGCTGTTCGCTATGGCTCGTTCTCTCGGTGCACTTCCCCAGGTGTGACGTCGCTGTGACGTTACCAGCCCGCGCTCGCGGTCATGTCGCCAGTGAACTTTTCTCGCCCTGTTTCAAGAAAATGAATCAGCACAGCACCTGAAGTATAATTCCATGCGGAGGGTCCCAACTAGTGTTCGCAAGTGTTTCGTTACTCATTTCCAGAACGAATGTGATAACTCCTGAAGGGTATGTCGATTTATAATACGGGCGATTTTCGAAGAATCTGTAAGTTAAACTTTCAAGGCGGTATTCTAATCGTCATAGTGAGCTGCTTAAAGTAAGAAATGAGTCGCAGCACAAGAATATCAGTATAGATGTTATGAAACACAAAGAGGCACCAAAATTTATTCCAAAAGAGTACCAAAGGTTCACAAATTATTCGAAAAACTCCAAAATTCCAAAAAACACGAAAAGTTTCAAAAAGACCTCCTTTGAAATATTCTGCTGTATTTCGGTGTTTAACACCGTCTTCAGGCATTTGTATGCCTCAGCCAAGGATTTAGCTGCCCTTACGGGAGCTGCGCCGTTGGAGTGGAATTCGTTGGAAATTGAAACTTTTCGTGTTTTACGGAATATTGGAGTTTTTCGAATAATTTGTGAACTTTTGGCACTCTTCTGGAATAAATTTTGGTGCCTCTTTGTGTTTTATAACATTCAGGATCTGATGAGGCTCCGGGAGAGCACAATACTGAGAGGAATATCAGTATACTTTAGCCATATTCAAGAAACTGTACTTGGGATTTCAGAGTGGAGCAAATGCTTTTGCAAGCACACACAGGCGCTCGCTTGAAGACAAAGTTCCACACGGATGGAAACTAAATCTCCTTCACTCTTCATTTATTCGTCATATGTGTGAAACTGGTCTTCAATGGGTTCCTACTCCGAAAAACTTTGTCAGAATTTGTCCCACTAGTGGGCAAAGGCGTAAGACTGAGGAGAGTTGGTTTGAACATGGTCTGCCCTTTAACACTTCAAAAACGACAAGCTTCGTTGAATATAAGAACATGGAAGTGAGGCATGTTCGGAAAATGTTGAGGACTCTTGACGTAGGTTGCGAGTGCTCGTTTCAAGACCAACGAGAAAATGCTAACGAGAGCAGGCCTTCATGCAGTGGTACTCTGGAAATTCGTTATAATGTTCGAAAAGGGGAAGGAAAAAAGGTATCGTCGTAACTAGAAATTCACATCCTGTTTCAAAGTAAGAATTGCCAAAGTACCCGTTAGTTTTCGCATTCAGTTGGCTTTCATATACATGGGAGTATAACATCAAATCAAACACTTCCAATGGTGGAATTCGAAAAAATACCTCCATCACTGGACTATCTGGAATGATTGGAAATGGCAAGACGGAATGCTTGTTCGGGCCGAATTCAGTGCAAGCCTGATGCCGTGCAAATTTGTTCGATTCAATGTAGGATGAAGAATGGCCAACTAAATTTCCCAGCTCGAATGTGCGCATTAGCGGATTACTTTATGTGGCCGATATCGAAGCTCGATGCATATAAGAACAGAGCTCGACAGGATTACTTGAAGTTCCTCTTCTGAATTACGATTCCACAATAAGGTCGATGGTCGAAGAAGAGGAAACTCAGCTAGTGGGAAGTCAGGCGTACTCCCTAGGGGTGCGGACCAAACCACAATTTGCATAGAAGGATATGCCCCCGTCGAACTAGCATGGTTAGGAAAAAGGTCCCATTACTCGGGTTCTGAGCTGTTTATCACGCTTTTTTCACATCTTGGCATCACCGACCATCTGTACTCTAATACTAACGGAACGTACTCTAATCGTGAATTCCGAGTTTATTTAACGGACGGTCATGAATAAAAACTAGGTTAGTTATGCTGCCACCATATTCATGCCCACTCTGTACATGTGAAATATGGACTTGTTTGAATGCCTAAATGGGGTTCGAATGTGAGCAGTAGCCAAGAAGATGCACGTAAAAGCTGCTAGCACGCGAGCTAAGCTGTAAAAAAGGTTCAATGAGTTGTCAAAGGTAAGGATCTGGGCTCTTCAAAAGCCATTAGAATACAACAAAACAATGCGACACGACCGTAGCGCTGTAATGAAGACCGTACATGATGAAGCACAACAAAAGAGTAAGTGAGAAATGTTTTCAAGCTGGTCCTTGCCTCGCTGAATAAATTCGCGAAATTGAGAGCTCAGCATTGGTCCACTCGGAGACTTCCAATACATATGCGGCATGATTTAGTCTTGGAGAATTGGGGCATTAGCGGAACCGAGTGTTTTTGCAGATTCGACCGGAAAACCTTTGTCGATTGTTTGCTCAAACAAGCTGCTCATTCGTGCGTAACTTATCGGTGTAGTATCTCACGTATGCTTTATCGACATTACCGGTCAATTCAAACTCGTTAAACAAACCGCTCTTGTGAATATACATTTTTACAATACCAATGTGTAGTGGGCAGGTTATAATGGAAGAGCAATCGGCCTTAGCGATGCACTAGTACCATTAAGGCCCTACTTGGTCAACGAGGTCCCAGCTTCCTGAGGTGCTGCCAGCATTAAAAATTATCAGTCAGCCTCCAACTCGGGGTGCATTGAATACTTGTTACGTACCTATTTTCCCACTTACCAAACATCATTCCCTTTCATACTTTACAGTTTAGGGAGAACAGCGGGAGATTGCCCACAGACACAGCCATTGAAACCTACGCTACACGTTGTAGGAATGCCAATACGTAGGATTGAAAAGGGGAAAGGGGGTATACTAAACATGAATGATAAATGTAATGAGCAGCAGTCCATACAGTGTTCTACTAGTTTTCGTCCCGAAAAGCTGCAAGCAATATATAAGCACTACGTCAAGGGCCATTGTATTGTGGTTGTTGCATTGCTTTCTGTTGGCTATCGCAAGCAGTGATCACGATGTCCGAAGGGCTGTGTGTGGGGTTTTGATGACATCTATGAGCATCACAGCGCTTTCGAGAACCTTATAGTGGAAGAGGTTAACAGGCGGTCCCAACCACCTTCCCCCCAGCGCGTTGAAGAGTTCAGTACACCAATGACATCCCGTGACGTCATCAAATCGTACCGCTCTACAGCCGTGTACTGGCCTCAACTTTTCAACGATATGCATAATAGCGCTTTTGAGAACCTTGTAGTCTACTGGTCCATTTTGTTTGCAATTTGTGAATGTTTATTCTAACCTAGTGCATTGACGACTAGTGAATACCAAAATGGCGAAAAATTGATGTTCAAGAAAGGGATAGACGTGTAGTGGAGAGCGTTGAATAGGGCTCGAGTAGACGACTGTGGCGCTTTCGGAACAGAAAGCGCCCTATCAATCAAGTTATAAGGTGCAAGAATCATCCAACGGCACGCAGAGACACCGTACATGGGACGCTACCGTGATTTTCTTGGCCGCCTCTCTTTGAATTCTTAATAATTTCAGCTTTCGATCTGCCAACGAAAAATTTTTCTGCGCAGAACGAGTACATTATAACGATAACATGTGAAGTAACTGCGACGAACTGTTAAGGAACTTATGATTAAAAAGACAATCTGCTGCAACGGCTTCAGTGGGTAACTTTCCCAATTTGATATCGACGGGGACGGAGATGATGGCGTTCTTTAGGGTTCTGGCCACTTTGCTTGCTCTTTTTTTCACCACTATCCAGCAGGAATGGCCCAAGCGAGGGACAGCCCTTCCGAGAGAATTTGCACTAACGAGATCTGACGTTTCTACCACGTGAACATGATCCCCGTGAGAGCTCGATGCTTACATTCTGACGACTTTAGAGAAATCTTCAAGAGCTCACCTCGATTTATCGAAAAGATCTCATCATTGATTCAGAAATCTACGCTTGCTCCTTCAATTTGTGGGATGTGTAAGCTCGAAATATTGCAAAATGTTTTTTTTTTCGACCACTCCTGTACACTTACATTTCGCTAGTATCAGCTCGCCGTGATTTCGATTTCTGCCCTTAGCTATGGAATCTCCAAGTGTTTACCTAGTTTTCCGACCGAACTTTGAGCGCTTGCGATGGGATGAAATCACCGCAGGCGGTCCTCTTGATGCTGATTGCTACGCGATTGCTCTCAATCTGCCCTTCGTCTGATATCCCGCGAATAAACTCGATTTGCTGTGAAATCATCAGGCACCTCTATACTGTCTGATGTTAAAGCAACTTAGAAAACATCAATTGTCGAAATTGAATCGGAGCGAACAGCACAGAGTTATCTCACAGCGATCACAACCAACACGTAAGATTGCGAAATAAGGCGGTTGTCTCGTAACATTGTGATGTTCCGGAGCCTCATTAGGACCTAAATATTATATAACACAAGGAGGTACCAAAATTCATTTCAAAAGATTTCCAAACGTTTACAAAGTATTCGAAAAAACTCCAAAAATCCAGAAACCAGCAAAAAATTCAAAAAAAATATTCCACATATTGAACATCAAGTACATTTCTATTTACATTTTTACATTTTAATACACTTACATTTTCATTTTTTTTACATTTCCACACAATAAATATAGAATATTCCATATTTATTCCACACCAATGGCGGGGCTCTCGTGAAGCAGCTTCATATTTGACTGAGGCTACGCATGCCTGATGAATGTGGTGTTATACGGTATATGGTGTTATCCATCGAAATATCGCAGAAGACTTTGGAGATTTTTCGAATTTTTCGCTGGTTTTTGGAATTTTTGGAATTTTATATTTTTAACTTTATGAACTTTTGGAATTCTTTCGAAATGAATTTTGGTGCCTCTTTGTGTTATATAACATTTAAAGAGTTTGTTGTAAACATAGACATGACGCATTCTCTTCTATCTATAGTCAGAAAAAGAATAAAACGAAGTCCATAACATGTGATAACTGTGATTTCATCGAAGTTCCTCATGGGATTCTCTTCCCGTGCTTCTTTTGATGGATATTTCTTCCAGTTCAGCTTGATTTAAAGTTTTCCCACAACATCCACTCATGTGACTATGCAAAAGTGCATATATCTTTCATGGTTAACACAGAAAGAAGGAGATCTGTTTCTGACAAACAGTGGGTACGAGTGCATCGAGGGTAGAAGAAGCTATTAGAGGTTTTATTCGGTTCACTGCGAAGCATGTCCTATAAGCACTCCGAATGCATTTGCTCATTTGTATTGCAGGAATACATGCTTGAGTAAAAGCACGAGAAAAAAGAATATAAATGGAAGGCTTATTGTTTTATGCTGAAGCAATATCAAAGCCAGTAGCTCTAGAGCTCTGATATTTCTCCCGACTTCCTACGCTATACACCTCAGAACAAAAACGCGCTACGCTGAATTTGAATCAACTTCGGATTCTCAGAGTCGTACAGAAAGCGGTCGGAACTAATCAGAAGTATGGCGGATGGTTCGTTGAATGTTGACGGGCAGATGAGCAATGCAATTGACTCCGGCCACTCCTGAGCAAAGGGCCATGGCTCGAGAGGATAACACTTCGCAATGGATTGCAGTGATTAATAAATGACACAAATCATTAATCCAATGTATAATAAGATATAATAAGGAAGTTCAGTACCGGTCATATGATGATTGATAAGCCGTTTCGATTCACTGAGCTCCATGGGTGGCTGGAAGTGTAGTGAAACCCAGAGACGATGTTGGACTGACGGAGTAGGTGTTGTTGTAAAAGGAGGCGTTCTCAAAGTTAAGATGTTGACGATTTAATTACAGAATTCAGGGCATAGCAAACGGATGAGTTTATGCAACCTTCACCTGCTTCAGCGGATAGGAAGCCATTTTTCGCAAGTGTACTGTTACTTCTGTTGTTTGTCGATGAGTAATTATGAATATAAGGTGGACGCATTATGCGTTGTCATTTTTTGGATGACCCTTAAGCGTTCATTTTCTGACTCCGACTTGTTATTAAATGGCTGGACCTGTACAGGTGAGTGGTCATTCCGTGAGGGATGGATGGATTCAATGGGAGCTTAGAACCCAAGATGTGAGAGTCCTCTTTCGCCGACTGATTACCGGATTGATACGACTGTCATCGGTAGTGCCCTCTCCAATGCTAACGTTCTCTCTGTCAGAGGGCTAGAGTCAGACGCCGAGAGGTCGGCTGTGCAACGGCGCTAGTGAAGCAGGTACGGCAATGGTGGGAAAACGCGACAGTGACTATAACTTTCTTGTTTTTCCTTTTATGGCAAATTTTCAGATCGCAAGAGGTACAGGGATGTTGGCTTTGTAATAAAAACTTAATCCCTTCATAAAGTTCACTTCCGAAAAAAATCACACGTTCCCACTTTTTTCTACTAGGTTCTTGAGCAGTAGTTTAGAGTTTCGAGATTTCAGTCAGAGTCGTTCCGGAGTCAAATGCCAGTTCCGGAGGTAGAAATTTTTTCCTATATTGTGCCAAAATAATCTTAAAGAAGCTTCCATCAAAAATCTGACTTCTCTGAAAGTTCTGTTTTCAGACTCGAGTGGTCAATCCTTTCATATCGTTACACTTCCTCTCGTACTCTATCCGGTTACCGGTTCAGAGCAGTGTTTCTGCTTTATCGAATCGAATTTGAAGCACTTACCGTCAACAAGTCCTATTCTGGGAAACGCCACGCACGCACCTGTGGTTCAAAGTTGCGATGACATTTGAAAGTCTCTTTCTGCTTGCTCTCACTTGTTTAAGCCGGCCATCATCCGTGTCGTATAGTGATGCAGGCCTAAGGCTACAAATGTGTAGATTCACTTAGACCGCATCGACTTGAAATGCTCGTTATCCTGGCAGGCTCGTGGTTCATCCCGTTGATATTAGGTTGTCCCGAAATTAATGCCGGTTTCAATGTCTAATACTTTATTTGATATTTTTCCGAGAAATTTCCATACGATTGCTGTACTATTGCATATCGTTGGAAAGCCCATTTCATTCTCTTTCTTGCGTTTTGGTGGGACTCGGGTCTCACTTTTTTTCAAAGGTTTGAAGTGAAGGCGTCAAAGTAGTGGTTTGAGCAGGTTCACTTCTATGAGTTGAAATTTGGAGAGGGTGCTGTGCGGACTGCTCGGAATAGGATTGCTGTGTGGGGCTAAGGATGTTGCAATAAAAGCACACCGCTTCGATGGCTCCGAAGCTTTCAATTTAGGGAAATCTAGATTCGAAGTGAGGGGGTTACGGACGACATTCTGCTCTTGACAGCGGCCTTCTGAAGAGCCGGCAGAAGAAGATTTTCAAACAAGTGTAGGGCAGCCAGCAGCATAACCTTGAGCAGGCGTACTGAAATTTTCGGAGCGCCTGAAGGTACTTGGGAAGGTAAAAAAGCTGGACAAGTGGGTACCGCATGAAGTGACTGAGCAGCAGCAAAGTCACCTTGCGAGGATCTTGGCACAACTTTTTTTTACTCAACAAAAATGTCCGACTCTGGAGCTTTTTGTCATCCTCGTCGGAAATAAGACCCTTCGCTATAGAATAGAGCAATTTTCCAAAAATCTAAACAACTACGAACATCAAAAACTTTTTCCAAAGTAGAATTTCTACAAGGTGAGGACCATGCTGATGGTTTCGTGGCCTTCCGGGGTAATGATGCATCGCAGCTTTCTGAGCCCAGGTGATTTTGGTAGAGCATGAATGTCTGTCCATAGCATCGATATAATGCTCCGTAAAGGCCTCTAACCAGAAGAAGGAAAAGAACTGTTCTCTATGTTGACGCCCAGCCACATGTCGCACAAAGGTCTTCGTAAGAGAGGGATAAATCAACCTACCCAGCTTTGCTTCTTATAGTGCATCCGCAGGATCTCACCCTCACCAACCACCTGTTTTCCGGCAATCTCGACAGCTTCTTGTGGAGTAAAAGATTTGTAAACCGAGACATGATGGAAAAGACCTTGGCCGATATTTGAGCTTCTATTGTTCCTGAATCTCAAGTTCGTTAATTAAACCAGTACGCTTCCTGTTAAGAAAAATGAGTAGTTTCCAACACTCTTTTGAATTACTTAAAATGTTGAGTTTGAGCTGAGATATGTTGCTTTGAAGACGGAGGCCAAAAACCGGCATTAATTTTGGGACAACCTAATATGTGGGATGATATACGCGAAGCAGTTAAACTATCATACTAGAATTGATTAGCCTCTATTATCTATTTCAATTTTCCCACAAACTCTTCCTTTACAGCTCAACCTCCCCTATTCACTTACACATTTCGACGTAAGCTCCGACACGGGCCCTCATCGTTGCGACCCCCTCCCCGCTCCATGAAAAAAATGCGACACCTTCATTCGAATAATTCGAACAGGCGGCTAACTCTGACTGTGTTACGTTTTAGAAGGGTCGCATGTGGAAAGGCCCCAGTGACAGTGGCAACACCGCGTTTGGTGAAGTGTTAGGTCATCTCATTCAAACATGTCCAGACATCTGGAGAAATGGTGGAAAAAGTAAAAGAGCTGGAGCATTCTGCTTGCTTTTGTTGCAAAGCTAGCAAACCTAGCTACGGTACACCTCACTTAAGTTTGTAGTACCGCAGAAGGGAACACTTAAAAATATAATAAAACTAATCGTGACCAAAATCGAGGCGGCATTTCCAAATAATTGGTGATACACGTAAAATTCGCAGCTCAAATTCTCTGTCTGCTGGCTCAGCTTACGCGTGATACAGTGTTCTCGAAGTGCTACGTTGAAGATATGGTGTGAGAGCTCAATGAAGAAAGAACGGATGCGAGTTGTGGTTGAGGACGCCCTCACATTGCCCACCTTGTCCAAGAAGAGCGAGTTAATGAAGTGAGATTTCAAATGACGCATCACAGATGCTGCACCTTTGCGATGTTTGCCCATGAGACTTGCAGTCTAGCTGCAGCTCTTACGCGAATTGTTCCCAAAAATTGGAGATGGTCCACAGAACATGTTTTTGAATATCTTATTTACTCCCAGATGCAGGAGTCCAGAATCGAATTGGTGTCTGTAGCATAGATCTTCTCTGCCAAGAGCGTCATTTAAAGTCAAAATTCGGGATAAAATAGGCGTCTAAAAACGTTCTATCATGACACTAGAGGTAGGAGGTGGTCTATAAAAGAGAAGGAAACCAATCGAAATCACAGATTACGCCCCGTACAAAAACCTCGCCTATTTCGGTAACATTCCACCTTGGGATGGAGAACAGGCGCGTTGGACGAGTTTCGC